ACTTCAATGTTGCTTGCGATATTGAACGATTGCTTTCGCACTACAAAACAAAACTGACCTTTTTTACCGAAGACAGAAGGATTCATACAAGTACATACTACCACCTATAAGATTTGGAAACATTATGGAAGGCAAAGGCATTCCTTCCTGGCCGGCGCCCGGTATCAAGTCGCTGCAACTCTCTATTCACGGTATTTCCACTTCGCTGGAACACGTCGTTTATGTAGATCGACGGAGATGACCATACTATTCTAACTTATAGTAAGCGAAACTCCCACTTGTAGAGCATTGCGAGATCGAAATGTATACATTTCTAGCTAGTAAAACTCGTAAAATTCGCCGCGAAATATTATAATTTATTCTGCCGCGAGAAATGCCGGGAAATTGATACTATGCATAACGCTAGTGATGACAACATGGCTAGAAGAGCATTGACATATTATAACACTTTCGGTAACTGCATTAACTTAATCTCCTTTAATTCAGGAACTTACAGTTGAAATTTTGTGTGTCCCCTCATGGCGGAATCAACCCGAATCAACCCGAATCAACCCGAATCAACCCGAATCAACCCGAATCAACCCGAATCAACCCGAATCAACCGAATCAACCGAATCAACTCGAATCAACCCGAATCAACCCGAATCAACCCGAATCAACCCGAATCAACCCGAATCAACCCGAATCAACCCGAATCAACCCGAATCAACCCGAATCAACACCGAATCAACCCGAATCAACCCGAATCAACCCGAATCAAACCGAATCATGTTTTTTTAAATTAAAAATCATCACAACGTAGCCATTATCAACCCTGGCAGCTCTCCTCTGGTATGCCAAAAATAGGCAAAATAACATAACTTTTGCACACAACAAAAAATTAATCATATGTTGAATAGGCTTACCGCTTCTATTTTATAACATAACAAGAATTTTCGAAGAAAATATAACCGGGCTTTTTTTATCAAGCAAGCAAGCCGTTTTACCTGCTTTCTTGCTTGAAATCTATCAGATTAGTCACGGCAGTCACGCTGAAGTCTGATGTTTGCGTATAGTGCCTACTGTCAATTTTCTTGCCTCTGAGCAGTCTTTGAAGATCATTCCTCAATATAAAGCCAAAGTTGAATAAGAGGAAAAAACACGACAACATAGGTACGAATCGGTGTTGAACCATCAATCGCAGACGTTCCGCGTTGCACCATCATCATTCGCAGCTATTCTAGTCACAGTTCGACAAATTGCGTGAGTCAAAATGTGATATTGTAACGTAATGGTTGTTATTTATAAATCTTCTGCATACAAGGAAGTGAATTGCTGCACCAACACGAAAAAGTAATGTATTTCACACTAAATAAACAGCAGAGTATTCATGTTCAAATCAAAAGTAATAGCTTGATATGAAATTTGACCTAACGGCGACCCTGGTTTATCACAGACGTTGACTCATGTGACCCCATGACGTAATCGTCCTTATTTATAAATCTGCATTTCTCAGCAAGTTTCTGTTTTTCTCAGAAAATATACGGAAAAGATATGTATTTCACACAAAATGACAATTATTTAACAGGACAATATTCATAAAATATCATTTAGGCAAAGGATGACCCTGGCGAAATCTAACGTAGCCTTGATAAAAAAATTGATCTAATGGCGCTTCCAGTGTATGTGATGTACGTACGCACCTCACAGACAATCTCTTCAAGTCACGATTCGACGTGACCCTATGACGTAATCGTCCAAATATAAATCTGCACGTCTCAGCAAGTTTCTGTTGACATAAATCTGCGAGTCTGGGCAAGTTTCTGTTTTCCTTTTCGGAAAAGAAATGTATTTCACACAAAACAAACAGGACAATATTATGACCCTGGCGAAATGTAACGTAGCCTTGATAAAAAATTTGATCTAATGGCGCTTCTAGTGTATGTGATGTACGTACGCACCTCACAGACAATTTCTTCAAGTCACGATTTGACGTGACCCTATGACGTAATCGTCCAAATATAAATCTGCACGTCTCAGCAAGTTTCTGTTTACATAAATCTGCGAGTCTGGGCAAGTTTCTGTTTTCCTTCACGGAAAAGAAATGTATTTCACACAAAACAAACAGGACAATATTATGACCCTGGCGAAATGTAACGTAGCCTTGATAAAAAAAAATTGATCTAATGGCGCTCCTAGTGTGTCCACCTAGTAGTGAGTACAATGATTTAATATTTTGACGAGTCAAACTCACCGACGTTGCGAAATCTGTACGCCGCTCCGATGTGTTTACGCGGTCCTAAATTAATATCTATTTGGACCAGTCCAACTTTCACATAGGCTCGATTTCCGCCGCTCTCTCGAGTCCGGGCTTCGTTCTTCCCCGAGAAAATCTTTTACAAGGCGAATACATTCATATATATTCATACTCACCCCTAGCTCTCCTCCTAGCACTTTGGCGGAGTAGAGGTATAAGAGATCGACGACAAAAAAAAACAGAAGCTATTTTATTAACCGGGCTGGGCCCAGGCCCACGCCCGGTTAAAAAGTAGGGGTCACCACGCGTTTTTGTAAGTTATATGAAGAAAACGACCATTTATTTCCCTTCCGAGTTTAGCCTGAAAGAGATTCCGCAATGTTCTGTATGTGCGCGCGCTCGAGCGCGCGCCAATGACGCGAGGAATTATGCGCAGAACGTATGCGCAGTAACAAATGGAGGCACCGTCCTTATTAAAGTTGTGATGGAGAAACGTGGTGTTGACTGAAACTGCAGGGGCACCCATAACGCTGAAAATTGTCCAGGAGGTGCTTTTTGTGCAGTTTAAAGTAAAGTTTACTTTTAAAGTAAAGTTTAAATGCTAAGAAAAATGTATCTGTTCGGGTACGTTAGCTGAACTCTCAAACTTCAGAAAATTTTAGAGATTGAAATCTCTGATTGCCCGAATTTATGAGCTACTTTTGCCCTAGCTGACCATTTTTTGACTTTTTTGTACCGGAAACGACATTTTTATCTCTTTGAAAACAAAAGGCATTGATTTTCCCATATTAAGAAAGTTCGAGGTGACATTTTCCTAAAGAAAACTCCAGATTTTCATCACACTCAGGAGCCCATCACTAGGAGCGATCAACTGGACTGGATTCGTGTCACAGCGTTTTTACAGACCAGGTTATTTTTAGATTCGCTTTTCCCGCGAATTCGTATTCCCGCCAGACAATCAAACGTTTTTCCTTTGTAATCATTAATTGGCGTTACCGCGTTACAAAGGCCGCAATTAGGTCGCCATCTTTTTATTTTATTTTATTTCATTTCATATTACACATGGGACCAGAAACACATTTTCCCGGGAAAAAGGAATCTACAAATAAACCGGTCTGTAAAAACGCAGTGACATAGGCGTAGTGTCTTAGTGGCTCGCTCCGGCTAATGGGCTCCTGTCACACTTTATTCCCTGAATATCTGAGGCGATTAAGGCCTTCCGAACAGATATTCCACCAAAACGATCCGTTGGATGACCCTGTGAAATCACCTGCAAAAAATGATAGCTCAATTTCCTTCAGTTGCTAGCGGTAGAATGAGGAATGGACGGCTAGATAAACGAAAAATACATTACAACGAAATTATTTCCAAATACAATTTATCTGGGCTCTTTTTTTTTTCATTTTTTTTTCATGAAGCGTGAATTGAAATGACCATTTTATATTCCGTGAAATGTGATCTTAAGACCCCTTTATCATCTTCTATAATTGGCGTGAGGTTATGTATAGAGCTATTAATTAAAGTGCCTATATCCCTTACCCAGTTATAATGGATTTCGAAAATTTATGTCTGTCTAAGACGTTTTGCGAAGAAATATATCGTATTCTGTGTTTCGTCATTTTTTTATCAAAGGAAAAAATATCCGAAAAGAGCCCATTTTTCGCCATTCTGAATACAAAAAGAGCAATTGAGGAGACTGAGCACTAACTAGCTTGTGACGTCGACCCGGTATCTCAGCCACAGAGCAGAGGGTTATAGGCACTTTAATGCACCAAGTAAAACTGGTATATAAAATCGATTCAGGGTAGTTCTTACGATTTCTTTATAGGTGGAGGTGGAAATTGTGACATGACATGTAGCGACCCCACAAAGTGTACATTCAGCTGTACAAGTGGAAACTGTAATACTGTCATCTGTAAGGCTGACATTTGCTACGAGAGATGCATTGGCGGAGGATGCGGTCTGGAATGCCACGGAAAAAGCTGTGAGCAGAGTTGTACCAAAGGCAACTGCGACATGCAGTATCCGAGCTATGCAGAGAAGTGTGAGTAGAGATGTACATCAGTCGAACGAGGACAAATGAACCATAGAGTATGTTTAATGGCCTGGCGCGCGAATCCTGCATGGTTCTAACAGTGTATCCAGTGTATCCATGGCAACGTTGTTGGCACTTTGCAACACTCTCTTGTAATGAGTTGTATCTAATATGCACAAAAAGAAATAAACCCACTGAGCTATGAAGCCACTGGGAGCTGGTCAAGTGCGAGTTCTTTTTATACCCGTGAAGTGATGAAATGGCGATGATGAATATATGAAATAATTCATATACGTGAACTGCGGTGGAAAGAACGAAAGGCCTTCTTTTCAACTGCTTAAGTTGATATATAACTGCGAATATCTCATGCATTCTCTTTCGTTCTTTCTACCGCAGTTCACATATATGAATTATTTCATGCATTCATCATCGCTATGTGATTGATACAAGTTACATCATACCCAAAAAGATATGGACGCTATTTCGAAAACATAAGCAAAAGTTATATTATATAAAACTAAACTAAGCTTTGAAACGTACATTAATTATTTTCAGAACCACAACACTGCTTGGTGTAGGTTACAGTTACAGATTAACGCTCGTTATAGAACTGGTTCAAGAAAAACGATTAACACTCCTTAAAACAAACTACTTTTATGCTGGATCCACAAAATAAAACTAGATAATCTCATTTTCTCTCCTCACACTATGGACGTACAGAATATATATGGTTAGCTCAGTCGGCAGGGCGCTGGACTGCAGAGCAGGAGATCCGGATTCGAATTCCGAACGGACCACTAACCGACCTAACCAGTGTGATAAGATAATGCTGGCTATGCTCAACACTTTGTCTCAGCATGAGCTATAGGAGACGTGGGTTTTGACTAAATAAAAGCAAATTACTTACAAAGAAGTAGTCCTTTGTCTTTATTTAATTGCCATCTTGGTTACCAAAGTATCGTAGCGAACAGTAAAGAAACATGACCGAAGGTTTTATGTAGTATTGTAAGTGTCCCGAAGTTGCTAAGCAATATGACGTATCCTTATTGCGCTATGCTGGCATGCATGACAATTTTCGTAGAACTCGTGAGTGCTTGCGCTGTTTCTTGGATAAGGTTCAAGGGCCGACATTTCCTGTCCACTTTGTATTGGTTTACGGTCCTGATGTTAAACAGGACTTGAAATCTAAAGGTATGTTTGTTTTCTTTCTCTGATTTTATCGATCCCTTTTAGTATCGTTAGTATCGGGTTCATTTTCGACAAAAAAAACCACTTTGTTCCTCCGGGTTTGTTCCATCAAGGTTTCCGTGTTAATTACCGTTTTCTAAGGCCGGGTTTAACTGATTGTCTTAAAAATATTAGTTTATATTTTTAGTTAGAAAATATTTATAAATGTCATGTTCCAGATCAACTGCTAGCCTCAACGATTTATTTGTGTGCTTCCAGTGAAGCATGCTATAACCTTTCTAGATAAGTTGTTTGGCAAATCTACAAACTGGGGATATATTGAGAACTTGTATTTTTGTCCGTATTTTTTCCTGGTACAAAAAACAAAGGTTTCGATATATACCGTGATGACAAGCGTTAAGGCTGCCTTTCAGTATCTTGGGAAAGGCTGTGAACCACATGTTTCGAATAATCTTACTGAAATCATTCCTGGTGCTGTTTCAGAGACTTGTGCGTAGCAACATAATGGCCTATGCTATAGCCATAGGCAATAGGCTTTAGCAATACGATTGACCATATTGTAGAGAACATTGGGTGGCAAGAGAATAACGTTCCAAGAATATTATTCCCATGACAAAGGACGTCCCATCGGTGTTATTGAGAAATGGCTGAGCCATGGTTCGACATGGTCATGACGCGGCCGGAAGCCATAGAAGCCAATCACAGGATCAGTGGTGAGAAAGGCAATGGAGCTGCTGATGAAGAGACATCCCATGCTGCGCATGTGCACAAAAAGAACCAAGATGGAGATTACCTTCTGCAGAAAACTACGCGAACTTCACACCACAGATTGGAAGGCTGTTATGGAGGAGAGTTTGTTGGAGAAATTTGACAGAGAACATGGTTCCCTTTGGAGGATGACCCAATGCATGCTACTAGGTATGAACCAGTTACAGAAGGGGACTTTCCAGATATCACATCATACCCTCATGAGTGTAGGGTTGTTGGCTTTCATCACATTACAGTAGATGGACCTTCCTATTCTAGAATGTTTGCCGAATTCATATAACGTATTTGAACAAATTAATCAATAACGAGGAACCTGAAGTGACATCAATGCCTATACTTCCGCCGGTGGATTTGTACATGAATAAAGTGATGCAACCTAAATGCTGTAAATGGTACCAACTAGTGTTGGAAATACTGTGCATAATACAATATATGTTTAAAGGATATAGCCATATTAATGTATAATTAAAGTTAAGCACAGTATTTGCCCTAAGTATATCCAGGATCTATTTACTAGAAACAACCGTGGATACAATCTACGAAACACAGACTTTTCTATACCACGTTTCAACACTGTTTCAAACGGTAAACAAAGCGGCCTTCGCTATCTTGGACCAACATTGTGGTCCAAACTAGATAAAAGTGCTAGACAAATAACCTCATTAATTAATTTTCGTAAATATATAAAGAAAGTGAACATTGCTGACCTTTTGACTGACAAATGTATTGATGGTTCACTATGTGAGGATGAGTGGACGGTGATGCATTGTCGTTTGGGGGGTCGGCGATGTTCACTTTGCTAATTAATTCAACATAAACTATAGGGTTTCCATTTTTATTATTAGAATCATAAGTATTATATGAACATTTTAACTAGTATTAAATATTATTACTTGTAAATTTCAACATAAATTATAGGGTTTCCTTTTTATATTAATAACATTATGTGTAAATTTTTAATTAGGACGTCTTCAATAGTATTAAATGTTTTTAATTAGTTCTAAATAGTGTCACCAATTAGTAGATTAATTCTGCTATGTGTTTTATTGACACTATAATAAAGTTCATTAATTCGCCCTTTATTTTTAAATGTAATCGTCATGCTCTTAACACTCGTCTGTTAGAATGTAGTGCAGCTGCTTGAAGGACATTTGAAGTGAGGGGGATAACAAGGGCTTAACTGTGTGTTGGTTTGACTATGCGACCGCGGAAGTCGAGGCGGGGATTAAGAGAGTTTCCGTTACCTCGGCCGGGTAGAACAATGACGTTTTTTGTTGATTTAATAGATTTGAAAGTGGAATTAAGGTCGCGGGGGATATATGGCCATGAATAAATTTAGGTAGGGGTGTTACCTTTAAAAGCTTTATATCTTGGACGTTTGGAAGCCCGATTCCGCTAAACTGACTTAACAGATATATTGGGGAATAATGGAAGTTTACCAGGACTGTTTTTTATTCAATGAATCGCGCTTTACGGTAATGCTGTAAGCTACTTCAATTAAAATTTGGTAAAACGTCATTTTTGTGTCCAAGTTTGCTTCTCGAGAAGAACACAGATCAAGTTGGTTTTACCACTCAGTGATCAGTTAAAACCTCTATTCTGTCATATCTGACGCCGATTTTTTGATCAGCTTAATTAAAAGTTATTAGCCTTTAAAGTGCTACTACGATCAAAAATACACTTCTCCTGTTCTCTTCGGATTTCGAAACCTTAACCACCAAATAGTAAATGTGCCAAATATCAAGTAAAAATTCTCACGGGAAGTCCGATTGTTTTAACTCTACTTTCCAACTTCGACTTGCCGCCATTGCTGGATTCAAAAATGTCCGAGCGCGTAAATAAGGATTGGGACGAGAGGACAATGACGTCATCCAATCAACCAATTCGAAACAAATATGGCTTCTTCTGTGTGCACGAAGGCTGATTTCATGTTGTATTGTATATCGACGAGGTTCTAGAGCTTTCTATAAACATAGAACGCTTTTTCATCACACAAGAAGATACATCCAACGTATTGTGTCGACTATGCTAGCAGCAGGAGTCTCAAAAGCCAGAATTTCTTCGCACAACTCTCCTACTCAGTGCTGGTTTAAAGAGCCTCATCACGCTGCTCAAATCGAAGACGAAGATAAGCTTATTACGGATGATATCGTCTGATGACTTATTGATCAGCAGTTTAACTACGGGCCGGGCTGTTGGGTATGTGCTTACGGGACTACGGGAGGTTGTTTTTGTCAGCTGAATGAAACTCCTCAGAATGGACTAAATATTTCAAAGCTTCGCTTGTTTACTTTGTCTGAACTGTAATTATACACATGGTATAAAGTGTTGTCATGTGCTGCTTGTTTGGATACTTGGATTTTAATAGTTACTTCCAACGAACTAGTGCAAGGTAATACTGGGAGATCAAACAAAATTTATAACAATTTGTTTCCTATATTTAACTTAAATAAAATAAAAGCCTAAAGCTATAGCTAGTTGTGTCTTCAGTGTCAATTAGCTCAAGGTGCATATTTCCTTGGTTTTGATATCATCCATTTTTGAATTGAATTTGTATCTTTGATGCTATGTTATTGTAAACTTTATTGTACTGTAAATTAACAGGGTTCATACAGTCTAGAAATGTAGAAAAGTATGGATTTCCTGACTAGCTTTACAGACCTGGAAAAAGTTTGGAAAATGAAGTTTATGTCTGGAAATTTGTCGAAGCTACATTGTGTACAACAAGTTCTGTTATTCAATGAAATCTTTGTCAGGTAGCTGGAATTCCTGTTCTCGGCGTTTGATTGCGTGTGTTAGGCCCAGTTCAGACGCCGTACTTCGCATGAGCCGAATCAAATTCGATGAATTAAGTTCATGTGAAGTACGGTGTCTGTATCAATTCGGAACGGCTGATTGAATTCGGATCGGCTCAGCCATTCTTCCCGCCTGGCTCAGCCGGGAATTACGGCTGTGGACTGACTTTGATTCAGACGCCAAACTTCACATGAGCCGAAACAAATGCATGAATTATTATAATGTATTTTCAATATAACAGCAATTTCCCCCTAAAAATTAAGTTTGGCTGAATTAAGCTCGGCGTCTGAATCAATTCAATCGGTCTAAATTAATTTGGGTCGGCCTAAATTCAAATTCGATATGGCTCATGTGAAGTACGGCATCTGAACTGGACCTCAATCTGCCGAGTCTGTAAAATGAAAACATGGTTTGGAAAAAAGTATGGAAAATATCTCAAATTTTGTTTACAAAAATATGCAGAAACCCTGTAAATACAAAATTGCCCTTGATTAAAACAAGGCTTATATACAGGTAGTTGTCCCCCCCCCCCCCCCAATTATAGTCATTCTAATTTACTCAGCATCATTAGGACACATAGGCTCAATTTGCTCCCTTCTCTCAATTCCTGTCTTCAAGAGCATGCATTTGGTGGGGGTAGGGGGAAGGGGATTCATTTTCCCAGGTAGTGGAGCCTAAAAACATGGAAACCAATGCTTAATCAGCAGCAAGAGCTATCAAGAAGTCTGAAATTAGGTTCTTGTACATTTGATATGGAGAAAAACTGGTATATATTCTAGGGTACCATTAGGGCCCAAGCACTTCGGTTAGCGAAGAACTGATTGAGCCTTAAGGGTTTCTGAGGACAGACACTACCTTCACAATCATAGGCGTCACTTAACAAGAACATTTGGATATCACAAAAACAGTGTTAACCTGATAATAACTATCAGGTATTTTAGTTGCTAAAAATTGTTTTATGACACATTGTTATGAAAGTAGTGATGACTAACACTCAATTTTCAAGTAAAACAATATTTATTTTCACTTTTGTAAGATTCAGGTT